TTATATAGTGAATTATTTTATTAATCTTTATTTTATTTTATAATATACATAAAATAATATTTTATAATATATATATATATATATAAAATATATTATACATTGTATATATTTTTATTATATAATATTATAAATATCTATTATATAAATAAAATATAAAATATAATAAAATATATGATATATTATACAATAAATTATATTGTATTGTATATTATACAATAAAATATATTCATTTTATATATGGGGGGTGGTTCATAAAAAAAGTTCCAACCTTGGGTTGGATTTTTTTTTAAAGCAAAATTGGAACTTGAACAGTTCCTTGAAGTTTTGTTTGAAGTTCAATTTTTTTATCAAACACGGAACTTGAACAGTATTAAGAAGTTCTAAACATCCAGGAAGACACTTCCTGTTATCAAACACGCTAAACAGATGACTTCTCCAAGCTACTGTTTGAACCTGTGTCATTATTATTTGTTTGAGTTGCTCAAAACTTGTGAAATGTGAAAATTTATTGGGGTAACTACAGTGTTTCAGTGTCAGTTTTTTTAACACATAAAAAACCAGTGTCAATGTTGCAGGAATATATTTCTTTATGCATGAAGATAGTGCTCTGTGAATGGTCACATGTGCCTGAACATGCCACATAATGATCACGTTTCAAGTGTTACGCTTGTTTTTAATTAATCTTTCAAATGTCAATTTTACTGTCCCTTAAGCTTTTAACATTTCACATCTAATCCTGGGATGCATTTTGAATGTTGTTTTTTTTATAAGTTCTGAAATTTTCACTTAAAAGTAGAATTTAAAATTTACATTTAAGATTATCACTCTTCATACTAAGGTTGATGCCACTTACTTGTCCAGCACTGCAAGCCATGGTCACAGCTAGTTATATACAAATCTAAATGCAAATTGTGATTTGTACTACTAGTTCAGGCTTATCTTTCTGAATTGGTGTAGATGTTGAACGATGTAGCTGATGACCTTGTACCATTGATAATCCCACACAAGAATGGTACAGCAAAAGGAATTCGAGTAGTTTTGGCCAGTTCCCAGGAGGACAGAAACCTTCTCATGGTATGAACCTTGGATTTTAATCCCTTTTAAGCACATCGTGCATGTTTCAGTGGCTTAGCCCATAACCTTGTCTTAACAACCTATTATATTTTCAGGAGGAGATTCAGACCCTTGAGGAAGAACAAAACAAACACTTCCGTGGCTTCCGAGAGGTCATTGATGCAATGTCGGCTTCTTGTAAACCAATCGTTGCGTACAATTGTCTAACAGGTAATTTCATTCAGGTCTTGCCATGTTCTTTGTTTTGTGTCCAATTACAACACGTTTTCATGGTATTCAATTCTATTCTTTTCTTTTCTTTTTCTGTGTTTTCTCAGTATTATGTTGTTATTTTGTGTTTAAATTTTTGCGCTTGCCCTTGTAGAGTCTGCTTTCATTCACTCAAAGTTCCTTGCTCACCTGCCCTCAACCATGGCTGAGTTCATGTGCTCCTTACGTTTGGTTTTCCCTTGCATTCTTGACGTGAACCATTTAATGAAGTCAGTCCGCCCTTTGAGGAAAGCAAACAATTTACATTCTGCTCTCTCATACATAAAAAGGCAGTTCTTTGCGCCTGTGGAAATGGAAACTCCCTATGAAGGCAAGGTATTCCTAATCCTTTTTCTTTTCTTTTTTTATCTTTTAGTAAAAACAATTATCTATAATGATTAGGAGAAAATAAGAAACAAATTTTCTCCTTTTCTAGGAAATCGTTAAATCAGTGCATGGAAGACCTTCATAATTTATGTAAGAGCCCTAGGAACCCAAATTCTAGGCAGGTGCTTAGATTGGTCAATTCGTCTTATGACGTTACGTTGGGCATTTTACAGAAATACCTATTAATCAAAAGACATAGAAGGGGACTTCCAGTTCAGAGCATTTTATAAAGGAAAATTGTTTCATGTGGGCTGGACTGCATTTCTACATATGCGGTCCAGAAAGTGTAAAGCATCCATCTTAAAGATGGATGCAAGCAGGTGTTCCATCAAAAAACAATGGAAACTAACGGTCCAAATGTTTTCTTACTAGAATTATTATTTCTAGTGTTTAAAATTTATTTATTTTTTCATATTCATGATCTCCATGTTAGAGATTACATGTCCTTAAAAATTAAGTCTTAAAATCCATCTCAAAAATAGATTTATTAAGAGGCCCGCATTACTACATGTGCGGGCTTGGCGGCATAGAAACCAGGTCCTTTTATAAAATATGCCCCGTCTGCTGTGAAATTCCCATTTGGGGTCCCATAGTTCAAGGCAATTGATGGTAAATTCATCAAAAAGAAGGAACATTGCGTTCACCCCCTTCATCGTACTTCCTACAGAGTAGGCCCCCTTAATATTTTTTTATTCACATCATAAACATTTTTATACTGTTTTCTTTTGAATTGACCAACTCCCCTCCCCCCCCCCCCTCCCTCTAGGTGAGTTTTTTAGGTCATTTTGGATGGAAAATCACCACCTCAGTCAAAGACAAAAAGTCTTAAGTTTAAAGGTGGTTCCCCTTGGAGGGCTGGACCAACCTCGGCTCCAAGAACTTTCCCCAAGGTCAAACCAGTGTCAAACTTGAAATTTTGTGTGTTTGAGAGGGGCATTTGTGCCCAAAATGACTTAAAAATATCCATCCACTGCTCCCCCTGGGGGTGTCAATGCAAAGGAATGGAATAACAAGGTTTATATTGTGAATAAAAAAATATGGGTGAGGGGTCTATGTGTAGAAAATTCAAGATAGGGTGATTTATATAATTTTCCCTAAAAAAGGAAGACTAATAAGTCATGTCAGTTGCCACGTATTAGGGGGATATTCTGGTTACTTGCCTGCACTTTTAGGGTTTTGGAGCATATGCATGATGCATCTAAGGTATTCCAGGCACCGATTAAGTATTTCCTTTTTTTCCTTGTTTGAAATGATGGAATACCATCTGTCTTTTCTGTGCTCATTTCCAAGCTTTCTCCTTCATTCATGCATTCAAACTCACATACGAACCTAGTGTTTTCAGTTTCTGAAGATATCGATGTGACCCATGGCCATGATGTGTTGAGGATTGCCTATGTATTTGCAAAACTATGCTCTATACTTAAGATCTTCCCCTCCACTGGTCAATTGCCCATTGGCTATCGTTCTATGATGGACTTTGAGAATGCTTTCTATCCTTGTTGTGTAAGCATTCAAGAGCCATTAGATGCAGAGCCAACAATACAAATCGATAAAAACAAGAGTAAACAAGTGAGCACTGAAGACTTGATTTTCTTGTGGGGTTATGAGAATGGGATATCTCCTGATAGACTCCGGAAGCTTCTATGTGATGTCCATGATGCTTTTCATGGGGGCTTTCAGGTGCGAATAATTGATGATGGGTGTGCGGTTGTGGGGTTTGAAAAGTCAGGTTCAGCAGAGAGATTCTTGAAAGATGTGGAGTCAGGGGAGGTTGAGTCGGGTGCGTTATTGGATTTGATTGTGGGAGGGCTTAGGGTTGCAGGGTACAATGCCTATGAGAGGGTTTGCAAGTTGGGTGTTTGGGAAGGTAAGTTGCCAAACTCATTGGAGAGGGCCTTGTTGGGTGAGCCTGTTGCATCTACAGCCAAGACTGGTATGTCAGAGGAGCACAAGAGTGAAAGTATGATGCTTGAGCTTAGTGATCTCTAAATTAATGGCTATGCATATTCACAGGATGGTGATAGAGATGCAGGTGTTGGCGTTACTGGAAGACTTATTGGTTGCGGTCGTTCCTAATACGGGATTCAGGGAGGCACATGATTGTGTTGTAAATTAAGGGAATGAGGTTTTGGGGAGGTTGTCTTCTGTCCTGTGCCTTCCATTGCATCGAGATTTTTGGCAAAATAACACTATTTCTTGTGCCAATGTTGTATTATTGTTATGTTTGGAAATATTATGTATTGGTATTGCTAAATGTGAATTATTGAAAATAAAAATTGGTTATTTCTGAGAGTGGCTGTACGTTGTCTAATTTATTGGAGAGATTGGGCGTTTTGTAATTCTTCCTGATTATTGCCTTCGCATAGTTTTAATTCTGTTGAGATTTTGGGCCCAAGACCATAGTGTCGTGAGCCAGATTCTAAAGTTCTTAGTGTTATAAGCTATAGAATGTTGATTCAAAAGTTCTTATTCTTGTTAATTATAGTGAAGGCATCACACTATGAAAATCTCAGCCACATCTGCAAGTTTATGACTGTGATTTTGGTTACATAAAGCTGATAAAAATTCAACATTCCTATCACATGCACATACTTCTTGATACCTTTGCTGAGGAACTACTATATCTTTTGATCCTTTTGTTTTTTTTATGCTTTTCATGACCATTGACCATGTTCCCAACTTTTTCTTTTGAAATTGTGGAATTGTCATTGCAATTCTGTTTTTGACCATTTCAGAATGCCAACAGACATTTGTGATTTTAAAGACCTAGCAAATTGTGCTTACGATGACCAGAAGTTATCAGCAGATCTGTCCTGGAGTTTAACTGCATTTCAATTTGGCTGGTCTTAGGTTTATTTTTTGTTCATGTTCCCTCTGTCTACTTACTAAGGTTAGGGAACGAAAGAAGTAAAAGAGAGATGAGGTGACTGAAAAAAAGGAGCTCCTTAATGGAAATAAAATCAAAATAGTAATGTATAAAGCAAAAAACAGAAGATGCATAGAATAATTGGAAAAATACACATGGGGCCCGTTTCTAAAATCCATTTTAAAGATTGATTTAATTATTATTTTTTGTAGATTCATCATCTAGGCCAAGCTGATCATGAATATGAAAAGAAAAATAAATTTTTAAAATTTAAAATATATTTTTTGATATTTTCTTGTAAACCATCCATACATTACTTATGTTTTACAACGTGCACCCGCTGACTCACGCTGCCGTTGTCCCAAAACAGAAACGTACAAACATAGAGACAACAAAGAAGTAACCTTCTCTGCCCCACCACCACTTAGAATCAAAGGTCCCTGGCAAGTGATAATGATTGACGAAGGGAACTTATGATGGTTCTGTTTCAATATGTGCATTGGTTAATATATCAGGTAATTAAAAACCGAATTGGTGACCTGGATCGTCCATTCTAAAAATTGGTTTGGATCGACAGTTTGAATCGGTGGATTGGCTGGGCCTGCCCTATCTCGCCGTTATGAATATTATTTTTAGATTTAAAAAAAAATGAGGGTAGTGTATTATGGACTTTCATTATTTTATAAAAAAGATTGTCTACGAAGAGATTATTTACTTTTGGGATCGTATACAATGAAACCATTTACTTTTGATCAGGGTTTGAAAACTCGTCGAGTCGAGCCGGCCTCGTCCAATTCGACTCAGGAATCGTCTGCAACCGAGTCGGTTTCACGAAAAAACTGGGAATCGCCTGTATCCAGAGAGAACCGGGTATCGTCTGCAACCGAGTCGGTTTCACGAAAAAATTGGGAATCGCCTGTATCCAGAGAGAACTGGGTAATTCCCAATAGTGAATCGCGAGTCTCACCGAAAAAATTTGGGCATACTAGTAATTTTTTGGCCTACTAGTAATTTTTTGGGTTTACAAGTGGGAATCATCTGCAACTGAGCCGGTTCTACGAAAAAACTGAGAATCGCTCATATCCAGAGAGAACCGGGTGATTCCCACGAAAAAACTGGGAATCGCCCATGTCCAGAGAGAACCGGGCAATTCCCACGAAAAAATCGAGAATCGCCCGTGTCCAGAGAGAACCGGGCGATTCTCAATAGTGAATCGCGAGTCTCACCGGAATTGTCTGCAATCGAGCCAGTTCCACAAAAAAACCAAGAATCGCTCGTGTTCAGAGAGAACCGAGCGATTCCCATGAAAAAACCGAGAATCGCCCGTGTCCGAAAAAACCTGAGCATACTAGTAATTTGGGTTTACACGTGGTCGCCTCACGAGAGCAACACGTGGCACCTAAAAATCCTCCACACGTGGTAACTCACCTTACATGTCTGCGCCGTCGCTTTTCTATATGCGTAACGCAATATCTATTACATAATAATTTATAGAGAACAAAGCGACGCTCATCCTTTGATGCGGGATAATTCCCACAAAAACTCATTAAAGCAAAACGATTGAATATATATTTTTATAAAAGCTAATAAAATCACATTAGGCAACGTGGCGGTGTCGGTTGACGTCTCCGATTTTTCGGTGGACGTCTAGAGTTCGAACTCCTTAGCAAAAATAAACAAAGGCAGAATATACTGTTGTAAAAAAATAGAAAAAA